ATCCCTCTAATTCCCTGCCTGCTCTCTAAGTTCTAACCTATCTGACTGTGCATGGATGTTTTTTGTTGGTTTTTGTTTCATGTGCCGCCGTTCCTACCTTTTGTGCAAAAATAGACGGAACAAACCGGTCAACACCATAATCCTATGGAGGTAACGTATTTCAGCAATGTCATGATTCCATCCCCCTCCCACCCCTTTCTTTAATATGACAGTTTGAGTTTGTTCATAATCCCACTAATACAAAAACACACTAATAATTATAAGTATAATGGTCAATCAGGAAACAATGAAATCTCTTGATTCCAGACATCCTGATACTGAGTTGATACACTTCCCCTGTACATGTATATCCTGGTGCCCTAATACTTCTGGGGTTAAGGTTGCTACATGTACAGTAGAAATGTGGTGTCCTAGCTTAGACGAATGTTGATGGATACAGTGGGCTAAAACTTACTGAGGTGAATAACAGCTGAAGGTACATAAGGGATTGATGTTTTGGTGACTTGGAATTCTGGTAAGAAGAAAATGCAGAATGAGATTTCTTGTGGTGGGACCAGTGTAAAAAAAACGGGGTAAGGAAAGCAATGTCTACTCATGGACACCCGTGATTGGTCAACTTATGATTGGTCAACTTAAGGTGATCTGTGGTTGGTTGACTCCTGGTGATGGTTACCTGTGATTGGTCAGTAAATGTCGAACCATGTTTCTGTGATGGCCTGACGCATGGTAACCTGTGATTGGCCAGCGGTTAATGTTGCTTGTCTGTGATTGGCCAGTGGTTAATGTTGCTCGTCTGTGATTGGTTGCCAGGCGGTGAATGACGGTGAGCGGTTTATCCAGGACCTGACGCAGGACATCCAGCGACCAATCGTGTTCGACGCCATCATGAGAGTCCGCACCAGCACAGGTCAGAACCAAAAATGCTCACGTGTGGATTTGTTTTCATGGTGACCTCTCCACCACAAATTCATGCCAACATGCATTGCAAATGTGTAACACTGTGCTAAAGAAAAAAAACATTTCGAACACCTGTGTTTCCTCCTGCAAAATGAAACTGTTAACCTTGTCATGATACTTTTCTATGTTTTTCTAAGTTTTGTCATCTTTTTCACATTTTCCTGAGAAATTGTAGACCTGTGGATGCTATACGAGACTCCTGTGTCATGAAAGCTACTCAGGGACAAACTTTCCCTCCCAATTGAATTGTCTGCAATTTCTGATCCTGTTTTTACACCTGAGGATGATTGATTGATTGATTAATGGATTGATTGATTGCTCATTGTATCCCTCCCAGGTTTCCGGCCGACAGACTTCCTGGGGAACTTCTACATGTCCAACACGACAGACGTGGAGCTGGCCGCCATGGACTGTGACAAGGCCGTCGCTGTGGACTTCAAACATGACGACAAGCTCAGCGAGGAGCTGGGGGCTTATGTTCAGGTGAGTTCTGCTTTTGGATCACGTGGTGCAGGGTTCGAATCTCGCCCAACTCTAGAGACAAGCTCAGCGAAGAGCTTGGGGCGTACGTTCAGGTGAGGTGTGCTTTTGGATGATAATGGTTAGGGGTTCAAATCTCACCCAATCCTAGAGCGATGTGATACAACATTCGAATCTTGCCCAACTCTAGGGACAAGCTCAGCGAAGAGCTTGGGGCATGCATTCAGGTGAGTTCTGAGTTTGGATCACGCGGTTAGGGTTCAAATCTCGCCCAACCATAGAGGCAAGCTGAGCAGCTGATGGAAATTTCTATCAGGTAGTTGTGTAGTTGTCTAATGTTGTACATTTCTGTTGTGCAGATCTTTAACATTCTACATTAACTTCTCCAGTGTGCAGTTCTGTACACCAGTGTGAGCGGGCAGAGGAGACTGAGAGTGCACAACCTCTCGCTGAACTGCTGCAGCACCATGGCCGACCTCTACAAGAGCTGCGAGATGGACGCCATCATGAATATTCTGTCCAAACAAGGTCCGTTTCCATGGTAACCTGTTGTCATGGCAACAGTTTTGATGTAGGAGGGAAGCCCAAAGTTTTTATGAAAACTTTTGTTCGTAGAATGTGTGTGATTATATCAGGGGTAACAAAATTGTTTTAAACAAAATTGAGTTAAAACTTTTGATCCAATACAAAGAAATTCTCTCACCAAGAATTGTTTAGAGTTAAAACTTTTGTTTAGAGTTAAAACTTTAGATCCAACACAAAGAAGTTCTCTTACCTAAAGCTTTCGACCAGTCACTCTGGTCTTCCTCAGTAGACTGACCCAGTGAAGCTTGTCATGTGGCTTCTTTGAAGTGTGACGTCAACACTGGGTCAAATGTATCTGGTAGACGATTTTGGTAACAAAATAGTCATTTTGAGATATGAGGAGCTGTTTTCTTACTTTATCTAAACTATGGAGACTTATAAAATGATGTTTCTTCCCCTGCAGCTGTGAGATCCGTGGTGAACTCCACTCCCAAAGCCATCCGTGAGCAGCTGATGGCCCAGTGTGCCAACATCCTGGCTACGTACAGGAAAAACTGTGCCAGCCCCTCATCCGCAGGACAGGTGGGTGTCTTGTTGCACTTTCTCTCTACCACCTACCATTGTGTGAGTGTGGGTGTGATGGTGTATGTGTGGGTGTGTGTGGGTGTGTATGTGTGTGTGACGGTGTATGTGTGTGTATGTGTGAGAAGTCTGTAGCTACCTTAGGGTTAGTGTTAGAGTTAGGGTCAGTATTAAAATTCTATCTCCCCCCCAGTTAATCCTGCCAGAGTGCATGAAGCTGCTGCCCCTGTACGTGAACTGTGTGCTGAAGAGCGACGCGCTGCAGGGAGGGGCGGAGACGTCGACAGACGACCGCGCCTGGCTCATGCACCTCCTCAGCTCCATGGACATCTCATCCTCTGGGGCTTTCTTCTACCCGAGGTTACTCCCCCTGGTGAGTATGGTCAGAACTGCAGGAACAGCTATGTTGATGAAGGTAATCTAGGTAATGAGATACCGAGAAACAGATAATGGTCAAGCAGATAATGGTCAGTTTCTGGTAGGAACCACTTTCTTTTGTCAGTGACTGTTCTGTTTCAGCATAGCCACTGCCACTATGACAGTTTCCTCTGCCATTTTTGTGTACCTCCAAGTGCAGAGCTGACGACAGGATGAAAGAAAAAACAACACAGACAGATTTTGGCAATGTCTTAAAGGTATGTCCTGTCATTTCAGAATCATACAATCTATTCAAAAAGGGAAAATGACACTGAAACCCCAAGGTCTCCACCATAGATATTTTGTACATGTAACAAACCCAAACCTAACTAACATCCCCCCCTCCATCCCACAGCATAACCTGAGCCCAGACAAAGACGACGTTCCCACAGCGATCAGGTGTTCCATCGAGCGGCTGAAGGATAACGGAGTGTACCTGTTGGAAAACGGAGTCTCCATGTTCCTAACCACACATAACTAACATCTCTCCCTCCTCCTACAGCACAACCTGAGCCCAGACAAGGACGACGTTCCCACAGCGATCAGGTGTTCCATCGAGCGGCTGAAGGATAACGGAGTTTACCTGTTGGAAAACGGAGTCTCCATGTTCCTAAC